GAGGGGAGGGGCGTGGGCAATGTCTGCCTTTTGGTGTTGGCTCCTCCCCCCCTCACAGACCTCCCCGCGGGCAGTGCTCATGTTTTACTGCACCACCTCCTCCTCCGGTCCTTCTCCAGTGTGTTCCAAATAGTCCAGGCTCAGTCATTTTTCCAAAAACCCAAATCTTAAAATATTGTCATGCTTCATCCTCCGGGTTCCATTTATAGAATCTCCTTGGAATCGCAGAGTTACAGAGACGGAGCATCGGCTGGGAGGATGTGGGGTGCAGGGACTGGGGTGAGCAGACGAGGGAAATGTTGGGTCGGATGGTCTGCGTCTTGATTGGCGGTGGGGGTGCAGGACGCAGACGTGCTAAGAGGACGCGGAGCCGTCACCTGCTCCTGCCTTTGCTGTTGTCCTGTGGGTCCGTGGGTGTGATCAGCACGGGGACTGGGTGGGAGGAACGTGCGACCTCCCTGTGCTACCTGCAACTTCGTGTGAACCTATTTTAAAATAAAATTTTTTTTTAAAAGGTACTGTCTTTCCTTTGTCTACCATAGTCATCCTGTTTCGTAGTCTCTGTTCCCTCTGAAGCAATCATTCAAAGTCATTTTCCTGATTTTTTTCTACTTAAGTCCTGTTTGGCCTTAACTCGTGTCTGACTCACCAAGTTACCAAGAAGTGCTTCTTGATGAATGGAGTGATTTAATGTGGGGATTTCTGGTCTGTTTTGCATGTTATCATATAGACTTGTATCTATGTAAATGAATGGGTGTGTGGGTTTGGTTTTTATTTTGTAACTAGAGGCCCGGTACACAAAATTTGTGCACTTGGCGGCGGCGGGGGTGGGGGTGTCCCTCAGCCTGAATTGTGAGAGGGCACAGGCCAGGCCAAGGGACCCCACCGGTGCACGATCGGGGCCGGGGAGGGTCAGCCAGGTAGGGACTGCAGGAGGGCTCCAGGGTATGTCTGGCCCGTCTTGCTCAGTCCTGATCGGCCAGACCCCAGCAGCAAGCTAACCTACCGGTTGGAGCGTCTGCCTCCTGGTGGTCAGTGCACGTCATAGCACCTGGTAGACCGGTCGACTATCTGTCCCCTGGTGGTCAGTACACGTCATAGCAAGTGGTTGAGTGGCCTTAGCATATCATTAGCATATTACACTTTGATTGGTTGAACGGACGCCCAGATGACCGGACACTCGGCATATTAGGCTTTTATTATATAGGGAAGCATTTCTCCCGTAGCAGTAACTTGACCTTGTTTCTCTCTTCTTCTGTTTTCACAGTGTGTCCTATTCAGTACATGTATCTGAAGACTACCCAGGTATGATTTCCTTCTTTTAATTCTTATCACAAGTGCTTATGTCATGGTTCCTTTGTGTATTTCTTCCTCCTGGAGACGTAAAATGTATATCACCGTACTTAGGGGGGGAGCGTTGGCAGGGGCGACATAAAGACAGAAGAAGCCTGCTGATGCCTGTGCGGCGCACGTCCTATCCTGGGATGCACTTTGGAGTCCAGATAGTTTCCCCATGAGAAGGAGGGCACTGGGCCCTGTGATAGCGTCAGCCTCAATGTTTACCTCCTTGAAATTAAACATTTTAAAACCTGGTTTAGTTGTTGGTTTTGGAACACCATTTGACTTTTCATAATGTAAAAATAATAGGCAAAAATGTAACAGCTAAAATAATAGTAGTAGCTAAAAATAATAAACCTTTCTTCATCGCTCTGAGTAGATACATAAACAGTCCTCCCAGCGCTCCTACGCGATTGTTCCCATCATTTCCCCCTTTTGCATGAGCGATGCCCTGGTAGTGAAGGAAGAACTGGGGTTTGAACCCAATAATCCAGAGCCCGGGATGCCCTGCAGGAGGCATCTTCCATAGGCATAGCTGCCCTCACTGTGTCCTGAAACACGTGACCAGGCCCCCACATGCTCGTCCCCGGAGAAAGGTTGTCAGAGCCCTGCAGACCCACTTTTCCGTAAAGCAAACGAGCATCTTTCTTGTAGGGCAGCCGATTCTCTAGGCTCCCTGTCAGCTCAGCAGAGCCGAGGTGCGGGCGCTGACATTCACGTCACGATAACTTGGAGATGTCAACAAGATGCTTCTCACGAATGGTACCCAGACTCTTATCTTGAACAGGAGCCGAAGCAAGCACTGTTGACTTGGTGTAGATCACATGACTGGATTCGTTTACCCCAGTGAAAAGGGTGTAATGCAAGAATCTAACGCAAAGAATAGCCAATTTTAACTGCCTGTGTTTCACGTATACAGTGTGGGGCAAAAGTAGGCGTACAGTTGTTCGTATGGAAAATAATGCAATACTTAGTAGATAAGAATACAAGCATAAACTCTGTGTTCCGCATACTCAGAGCTGTACACCTGCTTTTGCCCCACCCTGTGTATATATCTCACTCCAGGATTCTTACTGAGTACAATCAGATGCTTAACAGAGTCACTGTGGTGATCTGTCAGGGTCATAAATTGGAAACAAAATTCCAGTTCCTTTTCAAACCTAGCCATTTTATTCACAGACTCTGTGTGACTGGGATCCCATTTTTCAGCATAAAATGACCAGATTGATATAAGTGACTTTGATTATGTGTACTTTGAGTGTTTAAAAAAATAATTCGTGTATAATGTGTATGAGGATGTTGTAAAACTCATTTCCTTAGCATTTAAGCTGTGTGTTTTCTGTGGCGGTTTGCAGTATGTTTTGACTTTTCATCTTGTAAGATCAAAGTCACCTTTTAAAATGTTGTAAATCATAAACTCCTTTCTGAGAACAGGAGATACTTTATTTATTACCTTTTGTTTGGTATGATCTCCATGTTTTGAGCATAGTATTTTATCTGTTGTACAATTTTTACAAGGGGGGTTACTTATTATTAAAGATACGCCCGTTTTTTAATAGTAGTATAAAAAGTATTCTGGGAAGATTTTAGTGGAAGAACCAAGAGAAGATATATTTATAAAGAAAAAAAATATTTTTTTTTGTAGATGATTTTTGCAGTCAGCCCTTATTTACACGGATATAGAATGTTTTTGATGCTCAATGTTTGCTAAGCATGTTAGGAAAATAAAAGCCCCACTGTTGGTTGTAAATATTGTAATTATTGTGCTTCTCATCTGAGGCAGCCAAGAGCAGTGCAGGACTTTATTTCAGGGGATAGAAATGATGCCACAAATCAAGTCCCAAGTTGGAGACAGGGAAGTCTTCTGTCGCATAGGAAATGTGGTGAAGAGGCCTTCAATAAATCAAGGGAACCAAATGTTTCGCTCCCTCTTGTGGCCAAGAGGTATTTCTCTTTTTCTCGCCAAGTGGAGTTTGGCGATACCCCACTATAGAGTATTGGAAACACAATATTGGAAATACAATATAGAAAAATTGAAATTAAAAAATAAAGCATTGGTTTTCATGTGTGCTTTTTAAAATTGAATTTTTTTCCTTGGGGCAGTTTGTAGTGAATTTCCAATATAATTTCATTTATAAAAAGAAAAACTGTATAAATAAGGCCCACGAATGGGAAGGATCAGTGTGTTCCGGGGTGGAGATTTGAATTGGGTCACGCAGCCAGTACACCGAATGTCCAGTATTTTCGTACACGTAATTGAATTGACTCGAAATGTCAGTCTTTGTAGAGACAGAACTATCAGGACATTTTATACTTGAAGAAATGTGCTGGGTGAAGTTCAATAGTGTTTCCCAAGGACGTGCTGTTTGGTGGTAAAACCAAGTCTATAATTAAGCTCTGATTCCCATCAGTACTAGAGAGTTAGTCGTAGTATTTCCATGGAGCTTTCTTTAAAATGCATATCAGTATGGTAATATTTTCCCAATCATTAAATTTTAATCTACATTTATTTGCATTAAGAGTACAGTTAATATGCTTGATTTCTCAGATAGATAATATTATTTAAAATTTATATGTTTGCTTTTCCTTTACACTACCCATACTTGTATTTTTTCTCCTTCTGCTCTGGCTAGAACATCCAGAATAATTTTTAATACTAGATGTGAATGTTGGCAGCTTTATCCCTCTTCTCAAAATTAGGGAGCGTGCTTGCAATTGCTTTCTTTCAGAAAAGGAAGTGTTCCTTTCCTCATTTACCAAGCGCTTTTTTTTTTTTTAGTATTAAATTTTTATCAACTTCTTGTTTGGCATTTATTGAGAGATCCTATATGCTTTCTGCTTTGAATAACAAGATGACAAGTTATATTAGCAGATATCTTAATATGGATCTATAAGAATTATGTGCATTTTGTCATGTAGTTTGTTATTAAAGACTTTGAATTGATAAAGGAACTAAACTTTTTTTGGCATTTTCTAGGACTTGCAAGCAAATCTTTCTGAGCCTGGTGCCCTTTGAAGGATGGTTCTAGGGCAGTTGTCTTATTTGTCTGCCATGACCGATCATTGATCTGTTCTGTTTTTCTCTTTCTTGGTCATTTTTTAACACGTGTTCTCGAAAGCCTACTGTATTGGTGAAATGTCCAGATTTTTAGCAAGAAGATTGTTAGCATACAGCCTATACATCTAAAGTCTTCCTCTTCTCTGCATTTATTTCTCCTTTCTCTTGTTTTATGTTTGTTCTTGTCTTTTTCCCCCTTCTGACCAATTCTTCTGCTAATTTCCCTCAGGCTTCCCCCGCCCTTTCCTTGGTTATCTGGTTCAATGATTAGCTCATCATCTAAGTTTAAAAATAGGGAATTTTCTTTGCCCTGTGGAAATGTGTCCGCAGAATCCTTCACATTCAGGATTATGCGACCCTGTGTATTCTTTAGAAACACATTTGTCATTTTATAATATTAATATATTAAGTAGCCTGTGCCATGTTTGAAACTCCTTTCATAGTTTGCTTTAGAGAAAATGAACATTGAGGAGGGTCTTTACTGAGTCTTAGGTGTACATAATCGCATGTAAATGAGTGGAATACTAAATGTGATGCTGGTTCTTCAAAATACAGGGAAGGACTAGAGCAGCCTTCTGGCTCACTGTCCTCCTCTGTGGAGTCTGCATTGTAGCTTGTGTTTTAAAGGTAAATGTCAGTCCTGAGTGATGGGTTTGCTATAGCAGAACAGCAGACG